ATGGAGATGTGATCCAAATTGAATCACAAGTGGAAACACGTGCAGTTGGAGTTTCCTATAAATATTTAAAGATATATTGGAGCAACTGAAACAGAGCCAACTAGTTCAATTGAGAGAAATACAGTCTTAGATTTCAATTCAGATATTTAGCATTTTTTGCATTAAATTGAAACCTTTTTTGTGAACATATTGTGTGTTTGTTAATGCATTTCTTTTTCTGTGATTCTACACACCTGAGGATTTCCACTTTGTGGTACTTTTGTGTTTTATAAAGAATTGTTGCCAGTTGAAAAGTGAAATCAGCTGTCTGGAGGAGGGGGAGACCCTGCATGAAATTTGACCAAGTCACACACCCCAACGACTGGAAGGAATAGCCCTACCGGACTTTTATCTATATTATATATAATATATAAGTTTCCACCAGGGATGAATCCCAGGGATTTTCGTGACATAATCAGGGACCTATTACCTAGACTTCACCACATTAGATCGATGTCCAGAGTAAAGACATTAGTGGACATAGTTGAGGGAGCTTCTCCCTTTCTCCCACAGGCCCTTAAATTCAAAACAAATAGTAAGTTATTTGACAACGCTTCCTAAGGGACAGGCCATCAAGAGAGAACCAAACATATTTGAAAAAATGGACCCAGACTACTTTCCATATGGGGTGTCATTCCTATACTCTCTGCTGCAAAGATAGAATCCTATTGACCACTGAAATTCATGGGTAGATAGGAGATCATATTGAACCACACCTTTAGCGAGGAGAAGTGGGAAAAAAATCTGCTACCTACCTCACCACTGTTCAGTCTTTAACAAGACTCAAGAAACAGCATACAAACTAATGTCCAACTGATACCGAACGCTGTCGGTTCTATGTACCCGGACCACTTGGACCGCTGCTGAAGATGTGGTGATGAGGTGGGCACTCTTTACCACATCTGGTGGTAATGCAGGCAGATTAGGCCATTCTGAGGAGTTCAAGAAAATGTTCCAACATACCATACAACGTATTACATACCATACAACGTATTATTTTCCTAGGTTTTAAACCTCAAAAGCAAAACAATAATAATAATAAATAGGGGGGCAGAGCTAGCTATCGAGCAGACAAGTCGCATAAATCCTGAGCTCCGACACTACTACGGAAAGACAACCTCAGAACCCTCAAAATCTACCTCCATAAGCCGGGAAAAGAAGGAGGGGGAGCCAGTACAACATGGGGAAGCACTCACAGAAACCCTGAGGGCCGTCCACGGGATATACCCAAGATATCGGGCAACTCTTGTCCCAGGCCTGCAGACCCAAAATGGCGGACGTCTTTCAAACGATGGGGATGGAGTCACTCTCCGCCTCAGAGGATGACTACCTGAGCGATGTGCCGACCGAGACACCCCACAGGAAGCAACAAACCGCTCCAAAAAGGCAATCAGAACCACCACTGGCCACTAAGGCCGACTTGTCAGGTATGGTGATTGACCTCAAGGCCTTCTTTATGGCAGAATTAGCTGGCCTCAAGATGGAACTGAACACGCTCACAGGCCGCATGCGAGCCACGGAAGAGGTAATTCAGGAGTTGAGAGCCCAGCACGATGCCACGGCGAAGCAAACACAACTCAACGCTCGAGTGGGGTAGCTCAAAGATATGGCAAGACAAAGAAATATAAAGATGAGGGGGATCCCAGACTCAGTGACAGCAGACGAATTGCCGCACCTCATAAAGAGGTTGCTGCAAACTGCCCTACCACCTAAACAGACCAAAGGACTGACCTTAGACAGCCTATTCCACATACCAGGGCGCCCAAGCAATGCCCCAGACACCGCAAGGGATGTCATCATGAACTTTATTGGGTTTGTCAGCCCCTTTGTACTTACCCTGGCAGTCCGACGAGATGCCGATGCTCCGATCCAGCGGCCTGCCGTTCCCACGCAATATGAGGCTCCTGACAGCCTCATGGATGCCGGTTATTGTAAGCCCGCCCCTTTTTATGATGCGGCGCACGTGTACTGGCGTCATGATGTCACAGGAGCTCTGAGTAATAGAGCCCAGCACACATGCACCTCTTGGGGGAGTGGTTATGAGAAAAAAATGCCCTATCCATATGTTTCTTTTGAAGTTTAAACATACACTTTAATATGATTGATAAAACATAACATTTAATCAAAATTCTATTAAAAAGGTATACAAACATATATAATCAAAAAAGGAAAAAAATATAAGAAAATAAGGAAAAGAAAAAAGGGTGAAACAAGGGATTTTTACAAAATACACTCAAATTCATAGGTATCTACAACCAGATAATAGGATGCAGAGACTGAGAGAGGGGGCATTCATGGAGAAGTCCTGCAGGCAGGAGTCTGGGATGTATGTAGATTGGACAGTTTTGCATTTTTTATTTCATATTTCTGTATACATTTTTAATAGAATTTTGATTCAATGTTATTGTCAGGATCCTATCCTGACAAACAAGACTTTTTGTTCAGTTTTTTTTGTTCCTTTAAAACCAAGTTATTATTTACTTTCATTCCTGTTTATAATCTATTTAGGGCATATTGCCTAAGCCCCTTTATTTCTGTTTTCTCTCTCTCTCTTTCCTATAATTTCTAATATAGGATATCCTGTTCATACTATGTCTAATAACTCAAATAAACTACCTGAAGTCAACCCTGGCATAAGTCTCCTCTCTGACCTGCTCAGAAACATGACAGTTATGTTTTATCAATCATATTAAAGTGTATGTTAAAACCTCATCAGAAACATATTTGGATAGGGCATTTTGCTCTCATTTCTCGTAACTGTAATCCTAACCAACCTATACGCTATAGCGGGGAACCCTCAAAATGTAGAGGCTTTCATAACCAGGTCAGTATATTTTTCGAGCTGTGTCCCAGAGCGTACACCACTGACAGGGCCATAACCTTGCTAACTGATAAAGCTCTTGTCTGAGCAATCCGCTCTGGGAGAACGACAGTCCTCTTGTGTATGACTACTCTCAGTTTCTAGCAGCTTTCAGGAGAGCTTTTGATCCACAGGGCAGGATAGCCAATGCTGCTAAAACACTCCTGAGATTAAAACAGGGAAACCATTCCTTCATGGATTATGCCCTAGAATTTCGTTCACTAGCGGCATAGATACTTTGGAACAATTGTGCGTTTGTGGATGTGTTCCTTAACGGTTTGTCCGATACCTTGTTAGACCAGGTAGCAACCTGGGAATTACCAGAGACATTAGAGGAACTAATTACATATCTTGGGCTTGAAGTTGAGAGGCTTATACAGAGACAGAACACTAGAGAGAGACCTAGAGTCTATGGCATTATCAATGAGTCCTCCGTGCTTATCAAATCAGACAAAAGGCTTCTACTACCCATCACCCTGAAATGGGAGGGAAGAGTAGTCCACACTCAAGCCCTTATCGACTCTGGGGCTGTTGAGAATTTTATCTGATAAATATTCACTCCTTCTCAGGGAAAGAACAACGCCCTTGGCTGTAGAGGCCATAGATGGTAAACCACTTGAGGAACCCACCATTACTAAGGAAACTATTCCTGTTCATTCAATGTTGGGGTTCTTCATGTGGAAATCTTACTTCTCCAAATGATTTAATCTCCTTCTTTCCCTATAGTCTAAGGTTATCCGTGGTTGTCTAAACATAATCCTCTCATAGACTAGGAGAAAGGAAAGGTCATGAAATGGGGACCTTCCTGTATAGATCGATGTGTCACTAGAATCAGGCCAACGTTCCCACATCACTTCCTTTATCTACTGTTATACCGGAGGCCTACCAAGAGAGGTATTTGATAAAGGTAAAGCTGATAGTCTACCTCCGCACCAGTCAAATGACTGTGCCATAGAGTTGTTGCCAGCTACTAAGCCACCTAGAGGTACTGTTTATCCCCTTTCCCTTAAGGAGAACCAGATTTTGCTAAGGGTTTTATCAGAAGGTCCTCATCTGGTTTTGAAATTGATCCTAAGAAGCTGGATGCCATACTTAAGTGGCCCATACCCACTGGGTTAAAAGCTATCCAATGCTTTATTGGGTTCTCTAACTATAACAGAAGGTTCATTAAAGGATTCACATCCTGACTTGCACCTATCACTAACATGATGAAAAAAGGGGGGATGTTTTAGGAATGGACTCCTGGAGCCCTGGCTGCCTTTGTTATTTTGGAGGCAGCGTTTGCTTCAGCACCTTTCCTAGTACATCCAGATCCATCCCTTCCTTTCCTCCCGGAGGTAGACACATCTGATACAGGCATTGGAGCAATATTATCACAACGTCTGTCCCCGGACCAACTCCTTCATCCTTGTGGGTTCTTTTCCAGGAAAGTGTCCAAAGTCGAGAAAAACTATGAGATAGGGGAAAGAGAACTGCTAGCTGTTGTATTGGCCCTTAAGGAATGGAGTCATCTGCTCGAGGGCACGACCATTCCTGTTACGATCCTAACAGATCACAAGAACCTTTCCTTTATGAGTGATGCCAAATGATTTACAGCTAGACAAGCTTGTTGGTCTTTGGTTTTTCTCTCGATTCAATTTCATTCTCACATACAGGCCTGGTTTTGGTGGCCTTTTTAGACAGGATATCAAAGAATATATACAGACATGTACTGTATGTACACAATCTAAGACACCTCATGCACTACCTTTCGGTTTGTTGCAGCTTTCAGCCATATCCACAAACCCTGGTCCAGTATATCCATCGACTTCATAGTGGATTTTGTCACGGGTGGCGGTCCGAAGAGCTGGACCCCTATATGCCTGATGATGGGTAGGAGTTACAATGTGAAAATGAACAGTCAGTGTCCGGTGCAGGGTAACCACACGCTGCCTGGTGTTGAGCACCAGGGTTTGTGCGGCCACATACTAGGGCCCTAAAGCAGCTACTGCGGATCCCGGGAGCTAGATAATATGCAGATATGTATCCAGTACTAGAAACAAGGCAAGACTTGAATAGGAACCAAACAAGATAACAAGACAAGACTAGAAGAACCCAGAACCGGAGCAAAACAGTAAGCAGAACCCAGAACATGTACACAAGACACGAGGGAAACAAAAACAGGACATGGACAGGGCAGGACAGGACTGTACATCAACTGGAAATACAAGAGAAAATAAGACAAGACACGAGATGCAAGGCACAACAAGAGGAGAAAAAACTAAGTTCTATATATGTAATAAACATTGGAGATTTAGACAAACATCAATAGCCAAGATGTTTGCAGCCCAACACTGTGCCAATTACGGTGGGTCCTAACTGCCTAGTTATGCACGACTAAGAGTACAATAATAAAACACACACAGCACTTACCTGCAAGGAAAGGAGCAGAGGAATGAGACCACTGCTAGCAGGAACACACTGAAACAAAAGGAATGGCAAATGGCAAAGGAATGGGTGTGGCAACAAAAAACAAACATTTAACGGAATCCAGATGACTGGGAATTCCAGGAACGGAATAAAGGAATGAACCCAGAAAACTCAGCATAAAGAAAACCAGACATAGAACAGATAACCAGAAAAAAAACAAGAAAAATTAAACAAGAATTGTAAAAAGAGTACTGGATACCAGAAGCCATGGCCAGAAATGATCCGCAAACAGGAACAGGATGTGACAGATTTTCCTAAATCAGAAGGCCATATTGTTATCCTAACTGTTACTGACAGATTTTTTTGAAATGGTCCATTTTGTACACTTGCCTAAGCTACCTTCATCTTTGGAATTAGCGGATATATTCGCCAGAGAGGTTTTCCTCTTGCATACCAGAAGAAATAGTATCCGATAGGAGTCTACAGTTCATTTCACGATTCTGGAGTGCATTCACTGCTCAACTTTGCATTAAACTTTGTCTGCCTATCATTCTCAATCCAATGGGGCTGCCAAGAGAACCAACCAATCTTTGGAACAATACCTCAGATGCTTTATCTTGGACGAAACAGCTTCTTTGGGCTGAAAATGCTCATAATAGCAATCAATGTGAATCCATGAACCACAGTCCTTTCTACCTCAATTATAGTTTCCATCCTACTGTTCTTCCACCTTCCTTTCCTTCCCCCGGAAATGCCTGCGGTGGAGAAATACTTGGGTAACCTGAGAAATACTTGGGAGCAAGTTCAGCACCTCCTTACTCATTGGGCTACCTCACAAAAGAAGTTCGCGGATAGACATCGGCAGGCAGGTCCTTCATATCAAGTGGGTAATAGGAATTAGTTGGGCACTAAGACTATCAATTTGAAAGTCCCTTCCAATAGATTTGCACCTCATTACATTGGCCCTATCGGATACTGAGACGTGTAAACCCTGTTTCATATAAGTTAAGTTTACCTCCCTCACTACGTATACCTAACACCTTTCATGTTTGCCTCTTGAAGCCTCTTATGTGTAACAAGTATACTAGACCTCTCATCGTTCCTTCCCCTGTTGAAGTAGATAGTCAGGAGGAATATGAAGTACAGTCTATCGTTCTCCAGAGGTGTTCTTCAGTATTTGATACATTGGAGTTATGGTCACAAAGAGAGGTCCTGGGTGGAGGCAGATGATGTCCATGCTTCCCATCTGCTCCGGGCTTTCCATTCTCGCTTCCCTGATCGCCCTAGTGGTTCCTGCCTAGGGGGCGGTGTCAGGATTACAAGTTGAT